TCCGAGCTCTAGGCAAAATCGTTCCTCCTTGCTTACCTTAGGTCATCTCTAGCGCAATGCTTCTCCTATTCTCACTGAGAGACTGCCAGAACCACTCCTAGGAACTCGTATTTCATGAAATACAAGAAAAATAATGTCACTGTAACAAACAGTGGAACACGAAGCCGTGCAGAAGTGCAGAAAATGGGGGGTGTCCTATGTGACCACGTAAGACAGAAAACGATGAAACCCTAACACACTAGGGACAGCGTGACGCGTTTGCGCGTCACATTTCTGCGACTTGTTTTCATTTTTCAGCGAGTCGTTATACCCCCTCATGTTTGGCCAACGTGGATTACGGTAGCGGTCACTCATCGGACTGTTAAAACCGGCTTGTCTTGTTTTCATCTATCAGGACTTTTCAACATTGCAGAACCGTCCCTATACATTACCGGGTCCGGAGAACAATATATCCCGTACCAATAATAAAATTATCAGAGAGGACTGATGATTGGGAAACCATAATGAAGACGCCAAAATGCATTTATAACGGCTGCCAATGTGTTAAAATGTCCAGCCTAGAAAGTAAGGGACCAGATCGCAAAGGGTCAGCCATTTTTTCTCGATAGAGTGACGATAGTATAAAAAACAACAGTTAAGAAAGCCGTCTGGAAGTCATCTAACTTTCTGCGGTGCAATTAAAAGACTTTGCGGTTGCGGCAATCTTGCTTAATTTCACGCATTTTTGCACCACAACCCTAATTGAGTGTTGACACGTAATCTATACTTTTCGATGCTCGACAAAAACGACAAATGACAACTAAGCGTCTGGAAAGCCACGTAAAAATGCAGGATTTCATTAGGAATTCGTCGTCAAAACAATAACAAAAGCAATGTAAGTAACAACATCATTGTATTGGCGGACAGACAGCTGTTTACGTAGACACACACCGAGAGAATAACACAACAACAGCCGAGGGGCAGAGTCGTCAGCTATGACTGACGCATTGGTATTCATAACTGGGTGCTCTGGAAATGACGGTGAGCTGGCACTTGGACACGCCGTTGGCTGATAAATTGATTGTGTAGGGGATGTTTGTCAACAGATAATTCAGCTTAAAAGACGTGCCGATAATCGCATCAACCCTCATGTCATCAAAATTCCTATCCAATGCAGCAGTGGATATCGCAGTGAAGAGGAAGAGAAAACATGAATGGTCCCGAGCGGATTTCTCGCCGACACTATCCCTACCACCTTTAAAGTTTTAGAGAAATAGAGAAATACCACCTTTGAACTTTTTGATCAATTTTTAAAAATCAAATTCCATTGGTAATGAGTCACTAGTGAAAGAACTAGAGGCTACTGAACTGCGAGTTTTGGACCACTGAACAAAAAATTCGTGCAGATGGGAATACCAACAGCATAGGAGGTGGTTAAGTAATGTTCAAAGAAAGGGAGGGATCCCTGTCGAAAAGTGTCGCTTCGAGCCGTGCACAGATTAGGGTGGAGCAGGTTGTGCCCATAGACGGACGGTTTAACCAAGTGGGCGGGACTTGCTGCTCAAGATATTGGGTGAGAAAAGAAAACACAAATATCGTACACTGTAAACAGGAATCAAAAACAAAGTCTAGTATCTAAGAAACACAAATCTTCCCAGATTTCGGACTCCCAAAAAATAATTGATAATGATTAAGAGATAAGTACACTATGCTTTCGAGGACCAGATGCGCGTCGAGTGCAGATCACACACCACAAGTGACGACGGCCTCCACAAAATGTAAATGTTTTCTGCCAATGAAATGATTAGCCTGTTGCAGTTGTATTCTATCAGTTGTCACTAATTACAACTATCATTTACCAACTATCAGCTATCACTATGAATCACTAGAACCAGATTTACTTGGAGGCCGTCGTCACTTGTGGTGTGTGGTCTGCACTCGACGCGCACCAGGTTCTGGGAAGCAAAGGGTATAAATTCAAGCTTTTTGAGTAGTTTTCGTGGTAACATCCCTGGTCAGTGCCCTTCCGAAGACAATCTTCCTGACCTACAAATCATATTTTGCGGATTTTTGTGCGTCTATTTGTATTCTCGAACATTTTCTCTGTTTTCTTCATCCACAAACTTATACTCATAGGTAGTAATAAAAAAAGAAAAAAAATTTTTTTTTGGAAAGAACGAAATGAAAGTACCATATTGTATGTCGTGTCTATGAGACAAAAAAAATATAAAACAAACTACACAGGCATATATGAATTAAAATTGTTTCGTTTCGCTTTCTAATTGGGTCTATTACACAAAGGGGGCATTGCGTTAAGCTGCTCCAATACTCAATTCTGTTTGAAAATCCTTCAGCTCCTAATTGTAGCGGATTCATTCCTATGCCAATTTTCTGATTTTTTGCACGGTTTGTCGATTTTAGGCACAATTGCGCTGTTGCTACCCCAAGAAGGGCCAGAAAATTTTATCTTAGAAACATTGTTCGGAGGTTATTCAGCGCTCTGATCATGAATACGAACATTCTTCTTGACGTAGGGGGTGCTAACTTAGTTGGGGGGGGGGCACGCGGCGGCGCGGCAGTCTGCTCACCTGGGCTCTCTCGAGCGAGACAGTGTAAACTCGAACATTCCAGCTTTTCACGCATGTCAAGTGACCCCCACCCCCTAGACTGCCTACACTCCCCCCTGGCCCACGGATTTCCGAACATGCCAGGCGAGCAGACTGCCGCGCCGCCGCGTGCCCCCCCCCCAACTAAGTTAGCACCAAGTCCTCTTCATGCCCGTAAGGCCCAGCCCTTTTCCCACCGCATACTTCGGATGAAAACTAACGCGTGGAGGTTTGGGTCTGGTCACCAAATATGATCAACCGTTGTCTCTAATCACTCGCCTGCATCCCTGACCGCAAATTCGACGCCAAATTTTTTATCGATATGTTTTCTAAGGAATTTACTGTTGCGGGCCGCCGTCTGGGCTGTTAATCAGTGCAAGTAGGTGCCGGATTTCTGCGTAGTGGGGACGGCGCGAAGAAGCAGTCGTGAGCAATTTGTGAGGAGCAATTCGGAGGGCTAGGCCTAGGAGGGAGAGGCAATGGAAGTTGCTCAGACACCCCATAGACTCCTCCTTCTCTAAGGATTAGTCATTAATTGTTTCCACTGAAAAGAAAGTTCGTCGTGGTTTGATGCGTTGGGCACTCTACAGCGCTACATTCCCCCCCCCCCTCATTTCAATAGACCCATAAATCCAAATGAATAATAATTTTCATGCACACACCCCATGATTTCGTCGTCATTTTGACGCGGACAACAAAGCATTCATATATTTTTTACCATAACGGATTGTCTAAATAAGATCCTGCGTAAGATCACGAAGATGAACACCGGCTCCCCCACTTTCTTCACGATTTGGGGCGCGGCCGCGGCGAGCGCGGACGAGTCGATAGTGCCCGCGAACTGTGGTGGTGATGCGTTTTCAAATTTACCCACACAGTTCGCGGGCACTATCGACTCGGCGGGTTTGCCGCGGCCGCGCCCCAAATCGTGAAGAAAGTGGGGGAGCCGAACACTCGTTGAGTGACAAAAATCACACGTATACAGACATCACACGGCGATTTATGTGTTGAAATTTTCAGACGGGATTCAAAGGGAAAAAGAAAAAATGCAAAAGAAGATAATGAAGGGGCGATTAAGAATGAGATGTATGGAATTTAGCCTTTCGCCGGCTATGCGTGTGTCTAACCGTCTGTGTTACCTCTGACCCTGAGAGGGCGCGCGGGGCGCGTCGCTAGACCGGAAACGCGACTTTTTCACTTTTCGCTGCGGGAACCTCAGGTCCACCTCTCCGATCATCAATGGACCTGAGGTTCCTGCAGCGAAAACTTGAATGGCGTGAATTTTTTAAAGCACTTTTCGGATTTTGTTGTGCGAAAAAGAACTAATTTATTTTGAATTAATTTGCCTAATAATGCTCAATACTGAAGAACTTTGGCATTTTGTACCTTTCATTTAATGTATTATCTCGGGTCTATCGTCAGGGAGGGGGCATCCACGAGCTGATTTTTCGGCGAACTAATGTGAACTCGAACAGGCGCTCATCCTGTAAGGGGGGGGGCATTGTGATGCAACGTCTAATAACTGCCCTCACCCCCCATCCGGTAAGGTAAGGGGGGCATTGTGATGCAACGTCTAATAGCTGCCCCTCACCCCCCACCCCCTGAACTGGCTTCACTCCCCCTGGCTCACGGGGTCCCGTACTTCGAGAAACCTGTGCGCCAGGGGGAGTGTAGGCAGTCTAGGGGGGTGGGGGGTGAGGGCAGCCACTTGATGCCCCCCCCCTTACTGGATGAGCGCCGCTAGATGCCATTCAATGGCTTTCAACGAATCTCGAGTGACTGCCTCAACGCCTGACTCTGTAGAACCTGCTACACTCCTGCTGGCTCGGAGATACGTTAGCTTTCTGGAGAAAACTGCATCATGTGCCCACCCTCCGCCCCCGCAACTGAATAGACCTATGTTCTCTATTAGTGGAAATTTTAGAGCTTTTCTGGATGAGGAGGGGAGCATTCGGTGCAGTAACTTGTCTCGCTTATAGTAATGCTTTTTCGCAGGGGGAAAGGAAGTCTAGGACGATCGGCACAAAATGCTCACTCACCCCGGAGCTTGAGTGTTTTAGCGACAAAATGATTTATGTCCTGTTGTGTTTTTCGCGTATCATGGATTTTTATTGCATATATTATAATTTTTCTTAATTGTAACAATATATTTAGGGTTTCATCAGTAGGGGGGGGGCTTTGCTGCGACAGTTCATATGCATGAAGTAATCCTTTTTTTTCAGGAGGAAGCTCCGTTGGGTGGAAAAATTCAGCGAGTGTTACAACGCACCTTCCTCTTCTGCAAAATTGGAAGTCATAGCCGGAAACCTGTCGTCAAACACCCTCCCCTTACTGGATGACTCTATCCTTTTTAAACGTTGACGTATTGCTAAAAATTGATATATTAATATTAAAATCTGAAGATATCATTTTCAGCTTGAGCGCCAGACTTCGTTTGGCGTCACCGTACGCGTACATGCGACGACGCTCGCGACGGCGCGACGAGTTCTCGACACGGCTGTCGCCTCGTTCGAATTACTCGCAAATATCATGGAAATTCCACTACCGCTGAATAAGGTTCAATTTTTCCATATATAAACGCTTTGAATAACCTCCGTTATGTAGTGCTTGTGATCTGTAGCTGGATAATGAACGTTTATTGCAATTAAAAGGCAGATGTGCTATGAAATTGGTTAGGAAAAGGTAGTCCCTTCGTTGCAGGAAGGCCAAACTCCTTAAAGCTGGAAACATGACGCTCCCCAGCGTAGCCGCCTCGTAGCGCAAGGCTTCACCTGTGGGCAAGGTCGGTCCTACCGTTGCGACTTTTCGGAATTTTTTACGACCCCCTCTTTCCAATCAAAAATTTCACGACCCCCTCCCCCCTTCACCACCCTCGCCATCATGGTCGCTGTTTCTATGTATTTAATTCTGAGACCAGTGCCGACACACCCAGCTCCACCCACGTTCCCCTTCAAAACAGCCGTGTATACTACGTACAAAGAAGGCAAAATTTTCCTCACACTAGCGCCTATAGCTCGGCCATCAATTGTTCAAAGATTACATCTATGACCCCCTATGAAACCATAAAATACGACCTCCCCCCCCGTTGTACTGTGCGCACAACATAACATCGACTCTGCCTGTGGGTCCTGGATCCAACGCCTTTGTGTGAAGCCGTACTTCCAGATGGCGAACCTGAGCTGTGATTTGTTAACGGCGAGGAGACGGGGGAGTAAAGAAAGTGGAGCTGGGCGTTCACATCGGCGGCATCTACTGCTATCTCATCAAGAGTGAAAATCGAAGGGCAGAAAAGGGACCCACTTCTGCAGGTTCATCTGTGCACCTTGTTCTAGCATATTTAAGGCACATTTCACAAATCGAATATAGTGTGGTCATTCTAGCTAGAGGGTCAAGTACGAGAGGGAAAGGCCGTTTGGAAGGAAAAGCCGAAGTGGGCCATCAAAACGCTGGATTGGAAAGCCCCTTTTTGTAAGGTGGTTAGTGCTACGACGAAGAGACACTGGGCGCCGAGGAGAGAGGACAGACGAGAGAGCATCGACGGACAACAGACGCGGACACCTCGCCGCCTAGACTGTTGCATCGCCCAGAACAGCTATGGCGGTCCTTCAAAATCGAGTAAAAGGCTCCAGCGCACGTTTTCGAGCCGAGCTACAGGAACAGCACAACCTTCCTGACCGTGAGCTGAGTCTTACTCCAGCTAGGTGGAATAGCTTTGTCGTGGGCTGTACGCTCGAACGGATTTTGTACGAGTTCTCGTTGAGGCCAAACGCGTTGGAACTATGAGTTGCGCTATGAGCCGACCATTGAACGCTTATCCTTTTTTGTGTTGCAGTTTCTACAATTTGCTCGTTACCACAGAAACCAAAATGATGTCGCCGGAAATGGGCTGGCTGGTTTTAAAGCTGTATTCAAGATAATGTTCGAAAATGAGGGGATCATGGGAAAGATTGTTTGTATATGAAGGAAATTAGCTGAGGCAAGAATTGCTTTTTAGCCTAACCACGGCTTCTTATTCAGCCACCTTTTCGGGAATTACATGCCACATACTACTCGAGCGGTCCAGACATTACGCTGCCACAACTGCGGTTTTTCATATACTGCATTACTCAGTGGGTGTGATCTGTGAGTGGGCGGGGTCTGTGAGGTGACAGATCTTCTCTCACTCAGACTTCGACACCGTAAGCATTTCAGATAGTCGACCCCACCGGTCTCCTATATGGTGTAAGGGAATAACTCAAATGATAATATAGAATGGATAAAATAACGTAGTTATTACGAATAAACATGGGGATTTAATCGAATGGGATGATTCGGTTACTTGTATCCTGATTGCTTCTTCTAGGCCGATGTCATAGTTTGCGAATCGAGCGAGTCGCTAGCGAATCGCTGGATCCGAGCGTTGTGCCAGCATTCAACAGTGCCACTGTCACATAACTGTTTGTAAGTGGCAGGCTCCCTTTAAACGTTGGGTCCCGCCACTATTGAGTCGCTGGTACCTAGTTCGACTCGCTGGTACATCGTTCGACTCGCTGGCGCAAAGTTCGATTCGCTGGTGCAACGTTCGATTCGCTGGCGCAACGCTCGGATCCAGCGATTCGCTAGCGAATCGCTCGATTCGCAAACTATGACATCGAAGGAGGCGATCACGAACGATTCAGGCGATTCGTTTTATGGGTGCGATCACTAGAGCTTATGTGGCATGGAGAACTGGGGCCATGTGCTTCTGTCAGAGAACTTGGCCACTTCTGGCGATGACGCTCATCTCACCTACATCATCGCCCACGAACTCGCCCATCACTGGATCGGTGACAAGGCAACGGTGGACAGTTGGCGATGGATTTGTTTGCAGGTATGAAAACCATTCCATAGCCGGTGGTACAGACAAGAAGGGTGGGGCAGCGGGTATTTAAGGGGCGTTCTGTTCTCCTTCTGGGTCACCCGAGCTGCGCGATCATTGGAGCCTAAGGTTAACTCGGGTTTAGGCTTGGGCTTAGGCTTATGCTTACTTACTGGCTTATGCTCAAGCCTATGAGTGGGACTAGGCTTTTCTTGAGCTCGCTTCGAGCAAACGAGCAGTGTCTGACTGCAACGCGCCCGATACCTACCAACTGTCTGATCTTTTCATCAAGTCAAGCCCGAGTTGCCCACTTGTCCACCCTACTAATACCTCAGGCCATCACATCTCCAACCCTACTCTGCAATGAAGTACATGGCGTATCCCAAAAGGGTTGATAAGTGAAAATATCCAATTTTCGCAATTTTTCCTGCCTTCAAGGTCCACATATAATCCCTCTGAAAGCGGAACCACATCCCTTTGAAGGAGAGTTTTGTGACGGAGTCCCCAAAACAAAATAATGCGGAAGTTGTTGCTGTGGTGTTGTGATCTAACGAGGCTAATCCCTGGGCTCACGTAGACATTCTCAACCGGATGAAAAAAAATGATAGCTTAGCCCGCTTAGATGGTGGGCGATAGCATATTAAGCTCTCAATGTCTGGTTTCAACAAGGAACTGCCTCCAGCTATCCATCTATTTCAATCGGGCACAGTTTAAGAACCGAATAGCCATCACTGAGCGGCTTGTGTGATTAAGCTGCACGGGTAGCGGTAGGTAGGATTAGGTGATTAGCTGGAAGAAACATCTGACTATTAGAGCGGGGGTGAGCTAAAGGGGATCTTGCTACTTAATCCACCCTATTCCAAAGCCACTAAAATATCTAGAGTGATGGGAACCTCCTGTACTTTGGTAAATACGACATTAGTATTGGGTTGGAACAAAATATCGTAAGCAATTTCCAAGTTAAAAATCCAATTAATGCAAGGATTACCGTGAAAACCCCGTAAATCATTTGGAAGTACTTTTTCCGCTTTACTACAGCTTATTTGTCATTTTTTTCAAAATTGCCATTTTACTCAGATATAAAGGATAAAGGATAAAGCATTTGCCGTTGATCAATCCCTTTTGGGATGCGGCACGCATTCTACTTCCATTTGTACATTTCGTAGTGGCGTTTGAATGCGATGTGGCCTATACAATGACTTGCGGGGCCAGCCGATGTACAAGTCAGTGTTTTTATCCTCCCAGACAAGTCTGGTACCAATTAACCGACCCCGGAGGATGGAAGGCTTGGTTGGCCCGGGCGACTCACGAAGATATAATCGACTTAATTGTTAATATAGTGCTAGAATATGGAAAGCGCTATGCGGCTAGAAATCGGCATTTTAGCTGACTCTACTTGTGGTCGACTCGAAGCTCACAGACTCACAAATCAATAAAAATTCCCTGGTCTGATCTGGCTCTTTCGGAACATCAAAAGGCGACTTTTGATTCATCAAGTCATAGGGCTTCTATAAATTCGCAAACTTGAATTTTGAACTTTTTCGTAGAGAAAATGAGCTTAAAAACCGTTGAGTTGGAAATTTCTGGCCGTTAGTAGCTATGTTTCGGATGCAGCTTCTCTTTTTTTTACTAATTACACCCACGCCCTACATGGGCGGGGTAGGTACTCTTACCATGGGAAAGAATAAATCATTTCCGGTTTGTTAAATATTCTCGTTTGAACTAAAAAAGATCTCAGAAGTAAAGAAAATACATAGCTTTATCGGTGCGAGTTGCGCCACGCATTCCACTTTCATTGAAAGTAGTAGAGATGCGATGGCGACGCATTTGCTTTCTGTGCCGTCATAAGGACTTAGCTGATGCTAATGTTATTTATTAGATTATTAAAATTCTAATTCTCTAATTAATCGGATTAGCTCACTCACAGAGGTAGAATGCGTGTTATCCTCCAAAGAACTTCATCTCACGGGAAAAGGAAAAGGTAAACGGCGAATATAGCCCCTGCGCTTCTTCCAATCGGAAGTCCCTCCCACACAAATATTTAATGGAAAAGCGACAAAATGCCACTAATATTTTCTTTCCAATTTCAAACGTAGAGAGTTTCCAAAGGCGCGAGTGGTGGCTGAACTAAGACTAGTACTCATTTCCCAGACTATTTTCAACTTTTCGCCATTTTTGCTGAGATGATAAACAAGGAAGTAAATTCTTGCCGCTAATGTCTGATTTCCATTCCGGCACTCCACTTAGCTCTTACAAATCTCTCAATAGACGTTTTTGTTGTTGTGTTGTGAAAACACAGTCACCTCGATATAATTACTTCAATGGTTGTCATAGCAACCCAGTTGTTAGTTCTATTAAACATTTAAGTAGCTCTGCTGTAAAAGCTTTAAAACTTTGAACAAGGAAGATTAAAGACAACATGAAAAATGATGATGAATTCGAAGTAAGGAGGGGAGGGACTTGATATTCAAGTCACATTATCTCTTAGGAATGCGCCACGCATTCAGCTTCCACCATCGCAAAATGGGGTAGAAATCTAGATCTACCTCATACTGTACGTGGCAGGGCTACCAACTCTTTATGTTGTAACATTGATTTCTCAAGATACATCTCACTTCGGATATACACTTTATACACTAGTGTACTCTTAGTTATACGATAATACCACGTTGATGTGATGATAAATAGTTCCATATTTGATCAGTACGCTGAAGAGAGGGCGGAAGTGGTGTAGTGGCAA